CCGAGACGTCGCGCGTAGCCTAGCCGAGACGCCGCGCGTAGCCTAGCCGAGACGCCGCGCGTAGCCTAGCCGAGTCGTCGCGCGTAGCCTAGCCGAGACGCCGCGCGTAGCCTAGCCGAGACGCCGCGCGTAGCCTAGCCGAGACGCCGCGCGTAGCCTAGCCGAGTCGTCGCGTCAGTAATCGCTTAGAATTCTATGCAGATCCAGCGTTCGAACTGTTGCTGCCGTTGCGCGTCTTTCACGCTGATTTTGTGACCGATTGTCTGATGTTGGGTGTATGCAAACTAAAGTGTGTCGCTATCTTGTTTGTCGTAGGCAAAAGAGCCTGCGTTCAGGGATTACCAGATGCAAGTGCTGAAGAACTCCAAAACGTTGGTTGAGGCATTGATGAAGAAAGATTATGCAGTGATCTCGGGTGAGTGCTGTCTGTGGTGTTCACAAAAGGATTAAACAGATTTAGATACGTCTCCGTATTTTTATTTCAAACGTCCAACATGGAAACTCGCTGCCTCCAAAGGTGTTGGCAGAAAGATGCGACATGATATGACTACTAGGCACTTTAATTTAATTTAATTTTTTTTTTTTTAGGGTTAGGGTTAGGGTTTTAGTAGTCATATCATATCGCATCTATCTGCCGGGTGCGCCTCCAAAACTCTGTTTTATTACTTCCTTTCTCAAAAGGTGGCAGCACAAATACAGTAGCCTCAACACATGAGTTGATCTGATTTATGTGCCAATATTGCGATATAGCAAAGACATTACACTGCCATCTGCAGTACTGTTTCTATAGAAATGTAAGTCATGCATTAAGTTACAGAACAATTAGCTGCTTCTCCATAAAGCTATTAATTATATCATATATATGTATTACATTGTAATACACAACATGTATTACATATTATAAATTACACATGTATATTATATGCTAAATCTGTGTTGATAGGTGGCACTGACAATCATCTATGCCTCGTTGATTTGAAGCCGAAAGGAATAGATGGCGCCAGGGTTGAACTCGTGTGTGAGTTGGCGTCGATCACTGTCAATAAAAACAGTGTGCCTGGTGACAAGAGTGCTCTTATTCCTGGAGGGCTTCGGCTAGGTAAAGTTTCACATATTAATAAACATCGTTATTAACTGCTTACTGAGCTAATGAGCATGTGTACACTTGCATCGACACACAGCGAATACGTTCTGCGGTACAGGTGATAGCTAGCTTTGATGTGCGTGATAAAGTAGGCACCATCTTTATTTTGTTTTCTGATGTCTGCAGGATCACCAGCTCTAACGTCTAGGAATTTCAAGGAGTCTGATTTTGAGAAGGTAGCCGACTTCATAGACATGGGTGTCCGTATCGCCTTGGAGACGAAAAAGAACAGCAGTAAGTTATATCCGACTCTTTTGCTCACAGTCACGCTGATACGGTATCGATACGATACACACACAGGCATGTGCATAAATATGTGTGAAGATTTAGATATTTAATATTTAATTAAGATTATTATACACACGTGTGATGAATAAGTTATTAAATGAAATGCAAAAGTGTTTGTACTTGAAGAGTGCACGTATGACGTACATGTAAAGGTGAGGCGTGGAGAATTAATGCACGAGGGATGCACAATTTCCAGACACAAAGACAGTGAAGCAGTTTAAGGCATTTGTGGAGAAGGATGATGCAACACAGCAAGCTATCCAGAGCTTGAAGAAAGAGGTGGAAAGCTTTGCATCGAAATTCCCAATGCCTGGATATTAAATCACTGATTAGCGCCCCTTCACCATGAAAGGTAAACATAACATTAAAAGCTACTGCTGCTGCTGTTGATACTACTACTACTACTGCTGCTACTATTACTATTACTGTCCCTGCTGCTACTACTACTGCTGCTACTACTACTTCTGCTACTGCTTCTGCTACTACTACTGCTACTCATACTCCTACTACAATCTGTTTAAAACTATTTTACAATCAATTTGCTGTAGGATATCGGACTGATGCTGGCAGGCATGTGACAACATTCAACCAAGGTGTGCCATGTACAGGAACAGTAAGATTTTGTATGCCAAAAGGTGGAACTTGCAGTTAATAAATGAACATCAGAAGTGAGAGTTAATTCAGCATCTGTTAAGTAGATTAATTCATTTCTATTTACCGATTTTATTGCTGCGCTATCTAAAAAGTTGTTTTTAGAAATTCGATTTTACGTCAATAGTGATGGGCGGTTTAACGGGTTCTCCTTTTTATAGAACGGTGTCTTTCAATTGGCGTATAATTGGTAGCCGGTGTGTGTGATGTACAGTGAGAGCAGAACGATACATGTATTGGTAGATGGCAGGTTCAATTGAAAGTCACTCTTTTTCTTTTTGGATGCTAGTCGGTGTTGGCTGCATGTGCGGCCAAAATTTAGTGGGCAGAACGGTATAACCCGACAGGCTTGTCATTGCCTTTTTTTACTGTCTTCTGACGCTGAAGTATTGAGTATTTCACATGAACGTATTTGAAATTTAATACCAATGAAATTAAGTTTATTCTTCTTTTTCTTGCGTGTTGTTGTTTCTTGTGCCCTTGAATGGTGGGATGATAAATATATTTTACGCAGTGTATTTTCAGGAGGAGGTATTTATTTATGATATGTTGTACTTAATGTATGGATGTTTCGGTTAGCATGCCATTATATTAAATATCTGAAAATGTTTTCCAAGTATATTGATGTTGACAACGGACCTTGTCTACGTCTACAAGCAGGTGTATTCGTGAACTTGAATAAACCTGCTGTCAAATTAGGTTGTTTTGCAGAGTTGAATTCTGGGTTGTGTTATTTGGATTGAAGATCAGCTTCGGGGATATTTAGCGCCTATACGCGTCTGATTCACACGGGACAGCGTTTAAACGGGCATTTTTTAAACACTCAGCACATTCGGCTGTGTGCATGCCTAATTATAAACTAACCAAATCGGTTCACAAATGTTCCACGGAGCATCCGACCTACAATGTTACGATAGACATATCAGTATATACTTGGGGAATGTTTGTCTAAAAAGACATGCGTGTATCGTTGTAGTGACCAAATCAAAGGGCTTAATACATGTAATAAGTGATATTGACCACCAAATTATCCAGTTAAATTTGCAACGCCATTTACTATGAAACGGAGAGGAATGTTGGTATGAAAGGATGACTTTTTCACCTTGGCAATACTTGTATACTCTGTTACGATTGTTACTTGTCAAATTTACACTCCAATAAAAGCTGGGTAACATAGCAACAATGATTTTATTATCAAATATTGAGCACAATTCTTTCATTTTCTAAAAAAAAAATTTTTTTTAGCTAACCTTCCGTACTGATGATTCGATGCAATTATATAATTTACTTTATACAGCTCTGCATTTGCAATATTATTTATACTTGGAGTATGCACGCAGGTATGTACGAACACGAGAGAACGAACGCAAAATGAATTTTTTGGAAATTCCTAAAGAATGACCAGATTGTACACCAGCTGATACAGGGTGATCAATGTGGAACTGTTTTGCATACTTATTAAATGTGTTATCTATAATGTCTATCTCGGATAATTAAACTTGCAAATTTGACACGTATCAATGCAATATCCGTAATATCCTCGCTACGCATAACTAACCTGTCTATCTAACAGTGCTTGGTCAAAAGATGCACGGATTTATCGGTTCCACGCTAACACAACTGCTTCTCTCTCTCTCTCTCTCTCTCTCTCTCTCTCTCTCTCTCTCATCTTCTGCTCTCTCTCTCTCCTCTTCTCTCTCTCTCTCTCCTCTTCTCTCTGCTACTCTCTCTCTCTCTCTCTCTCTCTCTCTCTCTCTCTCTCTCTCTCTTTCTCCTCTCTCTCTCTCTCTCTCTCTCTCTCTCTCTCTCTCTCTCTCTCTCTTCTCTCTCTCTCTCTCTCTCTCTCTCTACTCTCTCATCTCTCTCTCTCTCTCTGACTCTCTGCTCTCTGTCTCTGTCTCTCTCCTCTCTCTCTCTCTCTCTCTCTCTCTCTCTCTCTCTCTCTCCTCTCCATTATTGCATTGGTACATCACGATATAACATGTCGAATTCTGACAATAATTGTCTGCTCGGTGAAAATAAACAGTGAATAATTATTAACATAAACACATTGATAACAACGATGTTGTGAAAACAAGAATGAGAAGGCAGCACTTAACTATACCGATAAGCTCGGAAATAAATAAATATGAAAACCTACTGTACGGGCAATAAACGAGACGAATGGCTGCAACTGCTCACTAGACAGTAAACAAAATTTTTTCTCGTTTTTTTTTTCTCTGGCACAAACAACAAATGAATGACATTGAAATATATAGGCTCTTATAAGTGAACCCTGACGACGTTAATATGATTGTCATTTGATGGTAATAATGATGCTTAACCATCTTAAAATTACTCAATGCTATACTTATTGCTCAAGCTCGGGCTTTAAGCCCGGCGCACACGTGAGTAATTTGACTCAAGTAAAGAAATGGTAAGGCCGGGCGTAAAAGAAGGTGTGCGTTTAACAATTGTGCTTGTGACTGACTGTTCTATGCGATAGACAAAGCGACGCTATATGAGATGGATGAACTGATTCATTAAATGATGTGGTTCATGTGGTGGACTATGTGGTCTAAGAGTGATGGGATGGACTAGGAGATGGATGAGATAGGTGTTAGAGATGGGTGGAATGGCTTCTGAGATATATGGTGCATACTTAGCGTCCTATACAAGAAAGACGGAATGGCCGTAGCCCCCATAAAAAAACACGCATAACGCATAAACGCATAAACTCGCATAACGCGAATAGATTTGATTGTCTAGCAGTGTGCAATTGCAATCACGTGATATCGGTATTACACAATTGTCTTTACACTGGTTAGGTAATTAAGAAGCCGATTAGGATTCAGTGAAAAACTTGGAAACTCAATCCGATCGTTATATCGTAGCTGCTAATTCGCATCACTATTCAACCGCTATACAAGTCGATTAGTAAGTGTCAATGTAATTATGCAAATCACATGTTACAGCTCCAGGAAACTGCGCCCAAGAGCTTATAATTACGCGACGGATTAACGTTAATCACATATTATCCTCTAAAATCGCGATCCGACATCTTCCGATCTCGATCACACTCTATCCGCGTTTTCCAAGTTATCCGATCCTGCGCACCACTGCGTGGTGCGATTATCCTTGTGGGAATAACATTAATGGTGTCATGGATTCCGGGATAGATCGATAAAGCGCTGGGAATCTGTTAGCATAGTCTCTGCGCTGAGCGCGCGCGGCCGTGACACAGATGTGCTTTCTGCCGCTTTGTTAGTAGTAGCCGTTGTACGACTGAAACGATTGCGAGGAATACGGAACTCTATTAACAGAGTACGCCCTCGGACGGTGTCGACGATAGGGGTTCGTCGCGTATCGCTGCCGAATATTCTGCCCTTGCCGACGCAGCGCACTAACGCGGCCATTTTGATCGTAGGGTTGCACTGGCTGCCTCCGGTTCACCCTCGGCGGTGGGACGGACAGGCGGCGCTGCGGCTGCGGGAATGTTTGATATGATAACGGCGGCCGTGACCTTGATCTGTATGGCTTTACCGATGCGCCGTAAGAGACCTGCTGCACGGCTGGGCGGGTATAATTGCCGTACACTACGGCACCGAGCGGGAAGGACGAGCCGGACGCTCCTCCGAAGCCGCCGAACCTGGAGGAAATCACCCTATTTTCGATGCCGGCGAATCCACGGTTGATTACTTCATTTACTCTCCGCCGTTGGCTTATGGGCCGAAAACCATTTTGGAACCCGCCTCGAAATTGTGCGGGGCCGTTGCCGGCAAAGCCGTTCCCGTTCTGAAATCCATTCACTGCGAATCCGTTACCATTGAACTGGTTGCCTTGGAAGTTGGAGAACGCCTGCGGATTGCGGCCACCTCGAAACGCGTTCGGTTGGTTGAATGCTGCTCCGTTTTGAAAGCCTCCTTGGAATCGCTGCCGCAGTCTGTTAACTCCCACAAACGCACGATCCGGTTCGAAGAGATCGGGTCCCGGTCCACCGAAAGGACCAAATGACGGGAACGGTCCGAGGTTGTTGATGCGTGCGAAGTACTCCGTGTTGCTGTCGTAGCGTGGATGGAAGCTGCGGCCGACACCGCCGAAGGTGGCGCCACCGCCACGCGATCCGGATGACCTCAGTATCGCACGGGGAGCTGCACAATAAAAAAACGGAACTATTAATATTAGTGCCAGCATTCACGAAGCCGCCGTACACACAATTTGCCGTTACATCGAACGAAAGCACTTCTAATATAAATTATCTAATATAAATATTCTCTAAAATATACCCGCGTGCGTATATCTGCGCGCGCGCCATTGTGCTACCTGCGGTCAGGGTGGTTGAGGATTATTATTCATTAATTATTAATTATATTAATTAATAATTATGCCGGTATTGTATAATCGTCGCTATAAACGCGTAACGATACTTACAACGAAGTTGCTAAATATCGCGCGTGTAGATAGTAGTCACTATAAGTCTATAAAACACTAGACACTAGTATATGAGGTATACTTCTGTCACTTCTCCCTCTTTAACTCGGCCACGACAAAAATGTTACCGCGTTTTACTGAGAGCTACATGAGACTATAGGCGCATCGAAGTTTCGCCTATACCATCGTATACGTGATACCATCTTATAAGTGATACCATCTTATATGTGATACAACCTCATGTGATCTTGACATTAATAAACGCAAAACTCGTGAGTTAGTGTAGAGAGACATAATTATGGTCACTGTAGCGACTGTCACCAGTGTTAACAACGGTTAGGGATGCATATCTGAAAGGCCTTATATACCCACGCCAATTCACCTGGTTCAAAACAAGGCTAGTAATTAGCAAAAACCTCATGCCCAGAGAAACACATTTATCTAGTTTATCCTCGTAAAAGCGGGATTCACGTCCTACACCTGCATTTTAATCGTGCGACCACGACAAGAAATCTAAACGAACACAACAGCGGGTATCAAGACTGACAGATATGGACGAATTCGTTAGCCCAGACACATCTCGCCATTTTCAATCGAAGCACATTGTTAATGAGTTATTAATTCCATACGCACAACCTTCAAACATAAAGTTTCACGTTCATGCAGACCTCCCATCACAAGCATGCCCGCACAACAGTAATCCACATATTTTACCTGCTGAGGTACCCAAATTCCGCGTGCAGCCGTCAGCGTTGGTTATAGCGACTACCAAGCAATGGTAAGCAATAGCCAAGCATTGGTCAGAATAGCGATGACAAAAACCGAGGATGCACTATTTGATGACGCGTTTCAACTCGTTACTCTTTGCGTCGTCAGTCAAGCGGTTTCATTCATTTAGCTGTATATCATTGTTCGTCTTGCTATTGACGGATATCATATGGACTGACGCATGGGCTGAGAGACAGTGGATTGAATGGACAGACGGACAAACGTACGGATGACTGTAGACAGATAAAGAAACACACAGAAAGATGGACGGACGGCCGGAAGGACGGACAGACAGACAGATAAACTGACGGACAAACGAACGGACGGACTGACGGACGGACGGACTGACAAATTGATATATAGATAGATAGATAGATAGATAGATAGATAGATAGATAGATAGATAGATAGATAGATAGATAGTCAAACACACACACCACACCACACCACCCACCACACACACGACCCACACACAACACACACGGTATCACTATTATGTCATCGTATATGGTTCAGAATTGTATTTATATAACATGATGGCTTCAATTCATTTCATTTCATTTCATTTCAGAGCATTTAAAATTATTTAGATACGATCAGTTATTATATTTAAATTATTTCAAGCATTATAAATATATAATGAAGAGACTATTGATTTTCGTCATTGGGCTCTGATAATCTAACTTGATACTGAGCATCTAAGTCAATTTTTTTCATGCTGGCCTATACATTCATTTGAAACGTCCCTAACGTGAGT